CGTTGGTTTTGAAAAATGGTGAGAAATTAGGAAGTTAAGAGACTGAAATGCGTCATATTGAAAACTACAGCAATCTCTTTGAAAAGGGATTACTGTAACTATTTGGTTAACTTGTTCTGAGCAAACAGAAGTTGCACAAAAAACAAGATCAAACAATACAATTTTTCTGGTTTTCGTCGGTGTGATTTGTAGTTTTAGCTTCCCACTCAACTGTTGCAAAAAAGAATACTATGTACATGGAAAAAAAACTAACAAGGAAATCGACAAGCGATGATTTTTGGTAGCTTTTTATAATCAAAAGATTATAGGAGGGGGTATGCAATCTGACGTGACGGTGTACAGTGCTTAGTCTTCTCGCTTCTATCGTATTGCTTTTTGTCAGAAAAACTGAGAAATCAAATTATTACGATACGTTTGTCAAATTGTTATCTGAAACCTCTTCCTAATTCTAAACGGACCATTGGCGGCTAAACGGCGGAGTAAGAACGGGCATGCTACTGCCGTGCTACTGTAGGCAAACGATTAAAAAATAATGAAACTTTTCGGATTAATCAAATATTTAAAAACTTATTAGAGTTCATAAATTTGGATGAAGTATCTGAAGAGGACTGAAACGTTTCTTTGACTGATTTAAGTCTACAGTAAAACTTGTGATAGAAGGGCCTTCAACTTTGAGCCCAATTATTTTGGTTCCTGTAAAAGATATGAAAAAGTGTCAACTAATAAAATGATGGTGATATTATGATTAACATTTTATCAGCGGTCAACTTTTCTATATCTTTGACAGTGTCATACCCGTGCGTCATCGTCCCTAACGACGTCAAACCGTTTCTAGAAGTTTCTATATGCTCCCAGATCCTACTGATAAGAGTCTGTATTTAACCCTCTGCTACCTACCATTCTTGGTCGGTGACTCTCCTATCTTTTGTTTTAATTGATTATGTTCCTTAAATAAATGCTTCTACTCATGAAGTTAGAGTCTATAAATGAAGAAGCAGAACGTCTTCCGCTACCGGCGTTCAGCCTCTTTACAACAGGAATCGAGACAAACTGGCTCAAAGTTAAAATTTAAGGGGCCCTTAATAATTATGCAGTCATCAAAGTAAATCTCCAGGAGAAATTTCCAATAAAAAATTATCTAAAGTTGCCATTTTTCAGACTTCCAGACGCACTTAACTACGGTATCACTCATTTTTGCGGTGTTTTTCTCTCTGGCCCGCTGTAAATTGCTATAAAATTCTTATTTCTGATGGTTGCAAAGAGATATACAGCCAAAAGAAAAATACAGCCAAAACAAGTGATACTTGATGTCTGGAAATCTGGAAAACATGGGAGCAAGTTGGACAGGAAATTCTTCCTGGAGATTTTCTTCAAATCTGACGTTAAAGACAATTTTTAGTTGAATCTGAAATTCATCCAATTTCCAATTTTCCAGGACGCTACATAAATCAAATAATGCCCCATATCGACATCATTACATTCTTCAAAAAGTTCGTCAAAGAATCCACAATCGATCAATTTCTAATGGATAACGAGGGACCAGAATACGATATTCTTCCGATGATGGCACGTGGCGCAGAATTCGATCAAAATGGAATCGTAGTCTGTCAAGTGAATACAGAAGTACATCAAGCCGATGAAGACAGGAAAAAGAAGTTTCTAGAAATTATGAATCAAATTATAGAAGATGGAAGATATGCATTCATGGTGGCTTATGCGACAGTACATCATCGATTTTTCTTCATTAATATGGAACATCCGATTTGTGTCGAAAAATATTTTTCCAGGTTTTTTGAGTAGACTTTTGTTCTAGATTCATGAATTATTATTAGTATCCTTGATACCGTAAAACCTCTAATAGAACGACACCCGGCCCGTCCACTTTGAGCCTATATATCTCACTTTCTGCAAAAGATATCAAAAAGTGGCTAACTAGTAAACTAGTAAAATGTTGCTGATATCCTGATAAACATTTTACTAGTTAACCACTTTTTGATATCTTTCAAAAGAAGTGAGATATATAGGCTCAAAGTGGACGGGCCGGGTGTCGTTCTATTAGAGGTTTTACGGTAATTAGTGAATTTTTGTGATTTTTTAAAATTCTAAAATTCTGTGAAAGTTTTCAATTAATTTATTCAAACCCGGAAATGTTTTAAATCCAAAAAAAATATTGCACCGTAATTATCTAATCAAGGATAAATCTTTTTATAAATGACAGCTGTGTGCTCCATAAGTCTTCTGGTTATGGTTGTGGTCATTAGAAGACGTGCTTCCAGACGATTCTCATCAAGGAGCGTCCATTCGCGGAACATCTGAAACTTTGAAGCTAAAGAACAAGTTCTAGAAGATTCTTCTCACAATCCTCACTGCTGAATCATGTGAAAAACTAATTCTGCCAATTCTCTGCAGTCGAAATTTGACTTGATTCGGTCCAGACTCTCCCTCTTCAATAGTCATAAAGCCTACAATTAAATGTTGATTCAGGTGGTATTTTGTGTTTTAATGCTTCGCTGATCTCTTGATTTTTCACTCTTTGGGAAAAGGAAATTCCAAAACTTTAACTTTTAGCTTTAAGCTAATTTATCTCGGTTCCTGCCAAAAATATGCAAAAGGTGTCAACTGATAAATGGTTTATCATAATATCAAAAGTGTTTTGTCAGCTGACACATTTTTGATACCTTTCACAGTAACCAAGATAATTGAACTCAAACTTGACAGTATGAGGGCCCTTCTATTACAGGTTTTTTTTTTGCTCACCATTGCTCATCGCTGTATTCAGAGACACGTATTCCTTCTCTTGTTCTTTATCGTAATCAATGGCTATGTATCCGTTTTCAGAGTGAATTTCTGTGGGATCCCCATCTGGCATATTGATGTCCCATGCGAATGCTCTGGAAGCAAGAATAAGATATTTTGGAATTTAGAAAAAAACATCTAGGAATCTCAGAATCTCAGAATCTCAGAATCTCAGAATCTCAGAATCTCAGAATCTCAGATTCTCAGAATCTCAGAATCTCAGAATCTCAGAATCTCAGAATCTCAGAATCTCAGAATCTCAGAATCTCAGAATCTCAGAATCTCAGAATCTCAGAATCTCAGAATCTCAGAATCTCAGAATCTCAGAATCTCAGAATCTCAGAATCTCAGAATCTCAGAATCTCAGAATCTCAGAATCTCAGAATCTCAGAATCTCAGAATCTCAGAATCTCAGAATCTCAGAATCTCAGAATCTCAGAATCTCAGAATCTCAAAATCTCAGAATCTCAGAATCTCAAAATCTCAGAATCTCAGAATCTCAGAATCTCAGAATCTCAGAATCTCAGAATCTCAGAATCTCAGAATCTCAGAATCTCAGAATCTCAGAATCTCAGAATCTCAGAATCTCAGAATCTCAGAATCTCAGAATCTCAGAATCTCAGAATCTCAGAATCTCAGAATCTCAGAATCTCAGAATCTCAGAATCTCAGAATCTCAGAATCTCAGAATCTCAGAACCTCAGAATCTCAGAATCTCAGAATCTCAGAATCTCAGAATCTCAGAATCTCAGAATCTCAGAATCTCAGAATCTCAGAATCTCAGAATCG